TGTACTGTTTCTGTGACGGGCCTTGTAGCTGTTCACTCCACACGTAAATATTAACAATTATTGTTGTTGTTGTTGTTGTTGTCGTTGTTGTTGTTGTTGTTGGACTATCCCACTCAGTTCGGTATAGCAAAGACTTTTCTATGCTCAATGTCTCTTCTTCTAGTAAAAAATTCCCTTCTGCTAGATGTGTTTCTGCTGCTAATGTTGTTTATGGGTACATAAATGTATTTGGAACAAAATCTCTTCCTCTTAAACGCATGACAACTTTAACGCTTACTCGTTGGTTATTAAAACGTTCCCTTGTCCAGTGTTAATGTATTACATACATTTTTTTATTAAGGTTGCATGTAAATAAATAAGAATTGAATTACTGTGCTTTCTTCTCTGGAGGCTTTATTTCAAGTTAACTTTCCTTTTTAAATGCATTCTTGTAAGCAATCTAACTTGTTACTCTGCAGTGGGAAGCCACCATGCACCTATCTCGGCTATAGCGGGCTTCTCGATCGATTCATAATAACCGGCAAAGTCAACAGTCGGCAATATTTCAAGGGATTAGTTTTACTGGGCGCCTTTAAAGAGGATGGCACTGTTGCAAATTTGTATTTAATCGCTGATTGATCTAGAATTTTAAGATATTACAATAATTACGATCCCAGAGTATTGAAACTTAAGATAGCTTAAGTTCTTAATTGGTTTGGTTATTCATGGGTGATGGTTTAGATGCATGTCATGCAAATAGTTTCTCCCAACTGACAAATGAAAACCCAATCAAAATTCCTGAAACAATACTCCAAACGGAAACTAGGTTTACGATGGGAATTGTGGTGATCCACCTTTGAACTGGAGACATCATTTTTCTTTCAGCTTAGCTTTCCGGTCATCATGTTCATGTATTTTCTTCTTTAAAATTAGCTATATTCTTATAACATTACATAGTAAATTTCAAATTCATGCACTGTCTTCGCTCGCTCGCAAGCCGGGATCGTGGGTTCGAATCCCACTCAGGGCATGGATGTTTGTGTGCGTTTTTCTGTGTTTGTCTACAGGTAGAGGCCTTGCGACGAGCTGATCATTCGCCCAAGGAGTCCTACCGTATGTGTAAGATCTAGAAAAACCGAAGTGAACGGAGTTCATGGAGGTAGGCCTAGGCCCACTGGGGCTGTAGTGCCAAGGAAAAAAAAGTTTCAAATACCACTCTTTAATGAACCGTCACAACACAGAAAATAGTAAAACATCAAAGTCAGCGTTCAGCTGTGGCTTTGCTACATGTTTCGGCCACTATCGGCCATCATCAGGCAAATACATATCAACAAAAATCTACCATTTAACTGCAATCATAAAATGGATATAACACTATTAATCGTACAAATTTAAAAATGCTTATGTAAAAAATACAAAAGTTCAGATTATATAAAAATTAAAAATTGGAAGTATTATAACAAGATAAAATATTAATGATGTTTTCAAAAACATTGAATCAGTCGTTGGATATACTTTGTGTGCGTTTCCATAGACAATAGGGAAATTCGATATTACTTTATATAGAAGATTTTAAGAGAGCCCCATGGTGTAGCGATTAATGAATTGTGTAATGCTGACATCTTGGAAGATGATTTATTCTTCAGTGCAAGAAATTAAGAGCTTGGAAAATTCCTCCGCCGATCCTTACGGGAAATTAATATTTCATCCTGACGGATATTGAACTGTCACTGATGGACTATCGCTTTACGTTGAATGAATTCATGGGAACTGCGGACCTGAACATTCAAATGGAGAAGGCATTCCCGCGGAAGAGATGAGACACGTTTCATTTCAGAACAGTGTTGTTTTCTGTGGCACTTCTAGGTCCGGTGAATAAGACGTCGCAGGTCCCTAAGCTGTCAAAAAGATGAAGCTCAAATACTGTTTAAAAATACATTGTAGGAAGGGAATAAATCACAAGTAAAAGTTGTTCCTGTACTTAAATAATTAAGCACTACGGTATGAAGGCGTATGGGGGAGTGGATATATAGATCCACATTTTCTTGGTTTTGGTACTAGTTGGATGTGAGTGGCCAGTTTCACTCCCCTACGCCTTACTACCCCCCCAACCCCCTCCGGTATGTATTCGATATGAGGCTGGGTGGACCCGAGATCCGGTCTGGACAACGTGGAGAAGAGAAAATTCTTGACCCTACCGGGACTCGAACTCCGACCCCTCTATCGTCCAGCCCGCAGCCAGTCGCTTTACCGACTACGCTACCCCGGCTCCAACTTAATAAGTACTAAAGATTTTTATTTTAATAATTCATGTGGAGACTTATATAACATACGATAACGCAATGTTTCAAATTCAAAGAAATATCACATTTTGAGAACAATAGATCTAATTGCATTATTAGGAAATGTTGATTTTTTTTATTGCTAGTGGAGTGGAACTAAGTACTGCGGCCACTTCTGGCCTATTGTACCAGCCCCAGATGATAGGTGAGGGTGATTGTGGAGCAATTGGTGGACTGAAGATTGGCAGGGGAAACCGAAGTACTTAGAGAAAACCTGCCCTAGCGCACTTTGTCCACCACAAATCCCACTTGACCAGACCCGGGATCGAACCCGGGCCGCCGCGGTGGGAAGCCAGCGACTAACCGCTTGAGCTATGGGGCGGCACAGATGTTGATTTACATGTTGGTGTGGATAATAATACAGTGCATATTAATGTATGCATAAATAAGCATAAACACTATCTCCTTCGGAACAATTGCACCGGAAGTGAAGAAAGTAAGCAGCAGTACAGCTTTCGAGTTCCGTTCAGGCTGTCGCAGAAGGATGTGTTCGTTGTAGCTTTCCAGTCTGACGAGATGACGTCAGCCGTCTGTTGTGTTAGTCTCGTGAGTGGTTTTTGTCAGTGTTCGGAGGTCGCTGAGATTTTGGGGCTTACATGGCTCGTAATTGAGTCCGGTATTCAGGACTTGTGTTTGACACAACCTCACTAGCGACGCCTGCTACAAAATTACCTAACACCATCGCGTTGTTCAGGAGATGAAGCAAATGGATGGACGGAAAGAGAAACAACTTAAAAATTGTACGTTCACTTTATGTGCTTTATGTACGTAAAAGTAACAAAAAGCAAAGATCCGTGCCATAGTTCAGGCGGTTAGTCGCCGGCTTCCCACTACGGCGGTCCGGGTTCGAGCCCGGATCAGATCATGTGGGATTTATGATGGACGAATTGGTTCTGGTTCAGGTTGCATTCCAGTTATTTATGTTTCCCCCGCCAATTCTCATCCACTAACTACTCCACAATCATCTCACCTGGGACTGGTACAATAGGCCGAACAATGGCCGCAGTACCAAGTGGACTGTCTCACTCCATGAGAAAATAATAATAATAATAATAATAATAATAATAATATAAAGCAAAATCTTAAAGGCGAACAATTTTTAGATGTTATTCTGTTGCTCGCGTGAGTGTTTTCAGGGTTTGATCTCTGAGGAATTCCATGAGACTGTAATCAGTTGACTCAACTCCCTTGTGGTTGCGTGTCTTGAGAGTTACGTATCTTGCATGAAATGCCATTAACGTTATAACGTGCCGTAGAATTGCATGTGACAGAAACCATTACCTTCGACTGAGCCCATATGGCCAGTTTTGATAAATTATTAAGCAGATCCATGTTGACATCAGGCGACTGTGTTGGTACGGACTGTGATCATTCAGCGGAACATCCTACTTTCTCACTCAATCAATCACTCACTCACCCTATGCAGTCCTGTGTATGGAGCGAATGTCGGCTCATATTGTTAAAAAATTATCCACCATTTATGGAAATCAAATGATTTAATTATTTTCACAAAAGCCCGCTACAACACCTGTCCAAGCAGGTCTGTTGAGTCCATTCCAAACTCTGATATCTGATTATTTAAGACTTCCTTTAGCACTGTCTTTCCGTTCTATTTCTCTGGGTAAAGCGGCCGGGGCGCGAATCTGACCACTGTCCACCATCTGGTACCGAGGTCAAGAATGGTGGAGCTATATCTCCCATCTCCTATATATCTTTAGGACATAATGTTTAATTAATTAATTACTTTATTAATTACTTAATTAATTAATTACTTTATTATAGTCCCATGTGCGTGTAAGTCTCTCAAGTGGTTTCTTCATTTCTGGAACTCTGACAAAAAAAGAGGTCCTATGCATTTTTCATCCCCCATCTCCGCAAGCGAGCTACAAGATCCGTCCCTACGAGCCCAGTTCAGTATAATACTGGGCTCTACAGTAAACACCTGCTGTGCCGCTTCCACTCTGCGGATGCCCTATTCTGATCCCGGCTCAGACAATGAGCAATGCGACTGGAAGGCCGTGTTATAGCTCAGGTGGTTAGTCGCCCGCATCCCCTGCAGTGGCCTTGTTTCGATTCTAGGTCAAGTTTTGTGGGGTTTGTGGTAGAGAAAGTGACACTGGGGCAGGTTGTCACCGATTACTTTCGTTTTCTCCTGCCAATTTTTTTTCTACCGACTGCTCCACACTCATCATCGTCTATCATCCGGGGCTGGTACAGTAGGCCAAAATTGGCCGACGTTCCAAGTGGACTCAGTCTCACCCCACACCAACAAATGAAAAAAAAAAAAATATTGGATTTCTTTTGTCTCTTTCCTCCGTGGCGCCAGGCAAATGCCGGGCTAGCATCTCAAACTAAGACACGATTGCTTCTTTCCACATCATTTCCAGCCCATTAATCATCATTAATCTTACCATTATACACTACACAGTTTCAACCTCTAATTTCGTTTAAAAAATAAATGAAAACCTAAAATAACGCCCTTCTGTACCCTTGCCCGATATCATAAAATTAAGCTCTTTTTTTCCTCCAACGCCACTTCTCACTGATATAAAATCACATGGTCATGAAAGGTGGACAGGAAATTTCATGCAAATTTTTAAATGAGATAAATGTATCAAACTAATGTCTGGATACATGCAAAAAATTTGATAATGAAGAAACTTAAATTTAAATTCTTACCTGTGAGATACATTTCTTGTGAGCGTCCTGAAGAAGTTTTCATGTCTGATGTTCTTAAGCAGTAGAAGTTTATCCCACTTTATCAAGTTAAAGCCTTTCTTAAATAACCAAGCATGAAGTGGACGTTCTGTCTTCCTCTGGTGAAACCGAATTTTGAAACTGAAGGCGGTCGTGTTATTTCTCAGGTAGGCCTACTTAAGGAGTCGCCGCCACCGGTTTGTATTCATCTGCTCTCGGTATATGAGAAAACCGTTCTGAATGACATGGAGTCTGCGCGAAGCGACTCTTCGATCGATGCTTCATAGGGCCTCCAGCTCTGTTATACTCGTGCATGAATGCAATATCATAGGAAGGAAATTCCGTATCTAGGCCTGTTATGATGTTACGAAAGTAGTTATAGAGATTAGATAAGGAATAGAAAATACATGACAGTAACATTGTGTTCCGGGAAAAGTATACCCAATAAGACGAAGTCGGTGTGTCACGATAGAAACCTCAAATGTTCTGATATACGTATAATGTGATTCTAGGAATAATATATTTTTAATGACTCACTTCTCTTCATATTTCCCATTCCAAGTATGTTAAATCCCCCCCGAAGGTGTCTCCATTTTCTCGTGGTGGTGGGGCTTGCGTGACTCTGTGACCTGGAGACGATAGTTTCACTACCAATAGGATCACCCATGCCGGAAAGGGCAAAGGGTAGAATCCAGACTAAGAGACATACCCAAGGCACAACAGATCACTGTGGTCGAGGTGCAAGGGCCAAGAAGGCCCACCCCTTAAACATTCATTCATTCATCCTGTAAAAAGAATTTTGTTCAGAAACCTAACAACCAACCTCGGGTCATCATGCGTGGATCCATTCCTGTGGCAGAGGGCACTGGTTGTGGAGACTGGCTGTAGAGGAGGCCAAGGCTCACCCAGGGCTGTAGCGCCAAGTGGTAGGTAGGTAGGTAGGTAGGTAGTGTGTCAAATGAAACAAACATCTAATTTCCTTTGTAAGATTTGAGGTTTAAACGGCGGTGACTGTGAAGAATACCGAACCGTCAATACCGCCTCCACAAGAACTTGCCACCGATCCCTACCCTGTCGAAGGGAATCCAATTCACACTTTTCCACATTAGCTCGTTAAGATTACTTTAATATTATACTCTCACCAACACCTAGTTCTTTCCTTTTAGATATTTGCGTCTACATTCTTTTATGTATTTCTCATCTTTCCCATGCGTGCTGTAAGTTCTGCCCATCTCATTCACCGTTGTTTGATGATTCCAATAATTTTGAATAAGACTACAAACAAAAACAAACAAAAAAACTTCCATGCTTTTACTCCTCAAGCGAACTATACCGACCGCCGCTTGTCGGAGAAGTTAGTGCCAACTTAAGCGGGTAGAGGGTGTCGCGTGGTCAGCGTAACGAATCCGCAAGGTCGTTAATTTCGATTTTCTAGACCGGAGCCGCTGTTTCGTTGGAAAAGCTCCTCCAATATCCTCATGAGACTGAGTAGACACAATGAAATATTACTCCCCAATAAATTACGTTTTCTTGGCGCTTAAATGACTCTTATTAATTAGTGGTGTTTTATCTGCACGAGAAGATTGGGCACAGTTTTATTGAACTTTAGCTGACAGCGTCTACTTACATAACCAACAGAAATAGAAATTTGAATACGGTAGATCCTTCGGAAATTATTGCAGACCGATTTGTATCCAAATTTATAAATAAGTAAAGTTAATTTGTGTGGTGGGTGCCTGCACAACTGGAGGTTTTTCAACAGGGGCTCAGCTTCACGGATTTATTTAGTTAGGATACTATTTCTTATTAGACCGCCTATGTGGTCTAGTGATCAGAGTTCATGCTTACAGATCCAGAGGTCCCGGGTTCGATTCCCAGCGCTACCAGATTTTCTGAGAAGTAATGGATCTGGAACGGTGTCAACTCAGCTTCGTGAGGATAATTGAGGAGCTACTTGAATGGAAAAATAGCGGCTGCGGTCTAGAAAACCGATATTAACGGCCGTGGGAATTCGTTGTGCTGACCACGTGACATCCTGTATCCGATAAAGTTAGTACTAACTTCGCCGACAAGCGGCGGTCTCTCGGTCGGTATAGTTCGCTTGCAGACTACAGGTCACGGAGTTTTTTTGATTATTTCTCATTCCGTGTAGAGACTTTAAGCTTCGATTTTGGTGTCATAATTCGAGCTGTGTCCTGATCTGAATGACCAGATCATAGCTATTGTTCCTCAGTCATGCTCAGGCCATGAATTTTATGCCATAAACACTGGAAAGGCGATATAAACGCTGTATCCTATAGATAGACTTTACAGTCCGAGAACCAGGTAATCCACAAGCACACATTTTGGTTGAAAATTGAAAACAATATAGGCCATAAGATCTTATGTTGCAGACAGCATTAGACAGTATTCATGATTGCATCTGGTGGACAGGGCCCGCCGGGCATCACAGGCAAAGCTTGCAGTCGCCTGTGAGGGCACTTCGTACAGTTCCTTACCTCTTGGCTTTTCATTAATGAAAACTAATTGCTATGATCTACTCACCCGTATCGTGACCATTAATTGGCAGTCATTAAACATCGTGATTGCTGTGACCTAATTACCTCGTATTTTATCACTGTTTTAATGACTCTTGGTTTAAGAATTACGCCACAAAGATCAGTTTTCATCGCAATGTCTGAGAATTTCTTGTCATGATTGTGACAACTTTTTGAGGATATTGAGCTGCTTCTCGGCACGTGACACAGAATTTAGGCTTCAACTGAGTCTGTTGATATGCATTCCTACATCCAGAGTGTAACTGAAAGGTGCGGACAAAAATTGGGGACGATTTCCACAGAGGAAAAAAAAAAAAATGACCACATAAACATGTGGCCGGAAATATTTAATTTGTGAGTTATTGTTGAAAGAATACTGTTGTGGCCTATTCAATTGTCTTTAATTTTAGCCGTGATGTGCGAGATGTTCTTAATAACACCATGTAAACTGACCCCTGTATGGGTAAAGGGGGACCCACTGCATCGCCTCCAACTTACCAGATTTGAATCGTCTGGATTTTTACCTGTGGCGACATTTAAAAGCCCTTGTGTATACAGTTCCTGTTGACAATAAACAGACACTTCGTTATCACATTGTGGGTACCTGTCAGACTATCCGAAACTGTGATGATATCTTTGAACTGATGAGGCGATCCCTGATGAAATGTGTCTAGGTGCGAACTGAATTTCGTGGAGGGCATTTTGAGCACTTGTTATGAATGTACTTCTTCGGCTACAATTCACAAATTAAATATTTCCGGACACATGTTGATGTGGACATTTTTCCTAGTTTTAATATGTGTAAGTCGTGCCCAAAATTTGCCCGTAACTCTCAGTCACACCCTGTATATTCACACACACATGCATGCAGACATATCTATCCATCCATACACTCACACGTCGCCCACTTCCCGTCCTACCTGCCTACACGTAGATAAACAAACGGCCAACAACAGGTGTGTAAAATAATAATAAACTTGTACTATGCTTCCTACA